CTTGCCCTTTTCATCCTTTAATTATACTCAGGGCCTGGCACATAGTAAATGCTCAATACACAAATTTACTTTATGATAAGGCAGTAATCAGCAGTTAACTTTTATCATTGAGCCTTTTCAAGTGAAGAACCCTGTATGATTTGCTGAGACAAATACAGAGGAAAACAGACACATTCTCTCATGAGACAGTTCTAAATGCCTGAAGTACAACTAGCAAGTAGCTATCAGTGTGAAAATTACTGAAATTCACACGTACCTCCACATCTAGGGAAAACACTTCATCCCAGAAGGCTTCTGTAGGAGCTGAGTGTAAGCAGTGTAGGAGAGCAGATCCATGGTGGAAATGGTTTGAACAGAGGCTTGTCAACAGAATGAGCACCCAAGTGACGGGAGGGCCAGGAGGTAGCTGTGCGGGTTGGGGCCAAGGAGGGACCTGGTGAGACAGAGCAGGGGCCGTGGGAGGGGGAGTTGTGCCACACTGACGCGTTCCTGTGTTGGATTGTAGAAGAGTATCAGCTTCCTCGGAAACACATCCAAGGCCTCGAAAAGGCCCCCAAGCCCGGCAAGAAGAAGTGACAGACTCGCTTCCTGTGGTCGATCCCGTGGAACCCAGGTTCTGGGCTGCTGGCTCATAGAGCGTTTTCAGCTTTTGCAAATAAAAAATATATAATTCTTTACCAGAATAAATTTTTATTCTAATCTAAATCTGATTTCCCTCTTGTTTCCTCCACTCAGCTAAAATATACTAAATTTTCAAGCCAGAGCCGTTTCACCAAACAGAAGAGGCTGGCGTGCCTTCCCATTCAGGTTTGGGTTCCTCCCTGGTTCTCAAGCCCAGCCCACCAGAGTGCAGGCAGGTGAGGCCCTCCTGTTAGTTTGAAGTCCCTCTGACAGATAACCCACAGCCTCTTGCTCATCTATTCCTACTAATTAGCCTCCCAGGCCAAAATTATCCTTCCCATCTCTAAGGGTTACTCATACAGAAAGCAGAAACCAGCTGTTTGGCCTGGGTTGATGACAAAAGAGGCAAGGACTGGCCATGAATTACGGCAAAATTTAAACTCAATAAACAGGAAACGATAAAAGCACATCAGGACGTGGGTTTCTGTCTAGTGATTCTTCCCAGCGTTCGTTAGTGCACTGCCACTGGCAGTGGTAAACTGAGGCAGCTTCCTTACCGTGAAGGCTTATCAGGCAAATGCTTTCTGAACTTCCTAACTGGGGCTCCTGCTAATGTAGCTGGTTTTCAGAGGGGCCATGAGCTCCCTGAAATAGTACACCAGGTTTTGTTTGATCATTTTTCCAAGAGAGGTTACCAGGTGTCTGGTTCCCAACGGAACACTTAATGCGAGAAGGTCCAGAACCATTGCCTTGGTCCCTGCTCAGTTCACGGAAGTCACATCTGTGGCCGAAACTCTCCTGTAAAATTGGAGGGAGAAAGGGCTGAGCTGAATCCCTTTTTAGGGTTCTTTAGGTTGTATCATCAAAAAAGTTATTCTTCAACTTCTTTTTTTCTTTCTCATCTCACTTTTTAAAAGAAACAGATGCCCAGCTGGTGTTGCTCAGTGGTTAAGTGTTGACCTGTGAACCAGGAGTCCATGGTTCGAGTCAGTCAGGGCACATGCCTGGGCTGCAGGCTTGATTCAAAGTGTGGGACGTGCAGGAGGCAGCTGATCAATGATTCTCTCTCATCATTGATGTTTCTCTCTTCTCTGAAATCAATAAAAATATAGTTAAAAAAGGGCAAACGAAAAAAAAAGGGAACCCCCATCCCCTGCTTGTGGGAATGCAGATTGGTGCAGCCACTCTGCAAAGCAATATGGAGGTTCCTCAGAAAACTAAAAGTAGAATTACCATATGACCCAGCAATCCCACTTCTGGTGTTTATCCGAAGAAAACAAAAAAGCTAATTTAAAAGATATATGCACCCCTGTGTTCATTGCAGCATTATTTACAATAGTCAAGACATGGAAGCAACCTAGGTCTCTACCGATAGACAGCTGGATAAAGGCATAACACATACAATGAAATGTTAGCCATAAAAAAGAATAGAATCTTGCCACTTCTGACAACATGAGTGGACCGAGAGGGCATCATGCTAAATAGACAAATACTATATGATTTCACATATATGGGGAATCTACAAAAACAAACAAATCAGAAACAGACTCATAGATACAGAGATTAAACTAATGGTTGCCTGAGGGGGGAGAGAGGAGGAATGGATGACAAAGGTGAAGGAGAGCGAGTTGTAAACTTCCAGTTATAAAATAAATAATTCATGGGAATGTAATGTACCACACAGGGACTATAGTCGGTATCATAATTGCTTTGTACGGTTATGGATGGTTACCAGACTTACTGTATCGCTGTGAAAGGTATATGAGAGCAAATCACCATGCGCTGTACATCTAAAACTAGTATGTTGTGTGTCGATTATACTTGAATCATAAAAAATAAAACTGGAAGCAGAAAAAAGAAATAGAAGAATCATTGCTTACCTCAGTAGCTGGTCCTGGAGTTTAATCCTCCTCAGCTCCAGAACACCCTCCTCTTTCTAACTCCGCATCTTTCCTCCCCTGCTCTGTGGGGATGTCGAGTAGCCGGTCACCTAGCAGCACTCTCCAGCCATGTATTCGGACAGTTTCCTCAGGATCATTTGAACAGTAGCTTCACGCCTCTGTCCGCTGGCAAAGGAAAACCTGACACTGCCGAGAAGTGTGTGCTGTCTCGGTTCCCACCGCCCTCCCAGCTCCCAAGGTCCATGAGAAGGTCAAGTTCAAGGAAGAGGTCTCCAGTCTGAATCACTTTTGCAACGAACTTTATTTTTTTAAACCCATATAAGAAAGACATTTTAAGAGAAAAGATCCTCAAAACAAACACACTGGGAAACAGGAGGATAGAAGGCACTACCAGCAGTCACGCCCTCCCCGGGGAGGGGGGGTTCTTGGTCCATCCTGTTTTCGGAGGCTCGGACCCTGGGTCCTGGGTTAACAGTGCTTCAGATGAAGTCTGCGTTTTCCCGTAACGTTCTTGTTTCATAAACACCCCTCTCTCTTCATACATAGTATGTGCCTTTATGGTATACATGTACATGAGTTTTCTTTTCCAAAAATAAAGCAGCCACCCCCGTCAGGAGGTTCTGAGCAGCATTCACAGCGTTGCAGCAGGAGCCGTGCCTTCTATCCGTGGTAGAGACATGCATCGTGAAGGGAAAGGACGCGGCCGCTCCCTGAACTACACAGCAGGATGGAGGCTTTCCAGGGAGTGGGTGCTAAGGCTGAGCATGAGATGGCAGGCCACAGGGTTCTGTGATTTAAAGTCTCACGCTGCCAGCCCGTCTGGCTTCTGCAGCTCTGAAGACGAGCACAGTCTGTACGATGAAGGGTGAGTATTCCTTCTGGGACCAGGGCAGTGTGGGCCCAGCGAGGCTGCACGAGGAACCGAGGCTTGAACCAACCCCAGAGGGACTGGGAAAGGCAGAGGACGTCGAAGAAAGGGTCTCTCAGAGGCCGGATTGAAAAACCTGCCCTGCTTTGAAAGTTACATCTTTCTCCATCAGCATGGAGTGTCTGCGTCCGGCTACGTGCTCGCGTTGTGTGGCTGGTGTACTTAAGTTTGGGCTGAAACAAGGAGCCAGTACAAGTGACAGCCCGGCATCTGACCCGCCCTGTCAATGTGGTTTGACATCTCTTCTGGGAATCAAAGCCCAGGAACTTCGATGGGAAGAAGGCTTGACCCTGACCCCTGACCCCACACGGAGAGGGAGGGCCCTCCGGGCCTGTCTCCCGCACCGCTGTGGCCCACGTCCTGGCAGGAACAAGCCAGCAGCAAAGCTTCCGACACGCTCCCTGCTCCCCTCTCTCTGGAAACAAAAAGGCACTGAGGTCAGCGGGGAGGTCAGCGGGAGGCCAGCCCCACGCTCGCTGAGCGCAGTGCCGCTGGCCGCTGGCCGGCCCGTGCTGCAGAACACACAGGGCCACGTGGCTGGGTGGAAAGTTCCCCTGAAACCAAGGCCGCTCCTCTGGCAGCACCGGATTCCATGCCCCCATCCAGGAGAGGCCGTGCTGGAGGCCCAGGGCCAAGGCAGCCAGGCCTCCCCGTCCTCTCGCTGGTGGAAAGCCGCAGACACTCGGACACGTTTCTCTGCCAGCTCTTTGGCTTCCTCTGGCTGCCTGGCTGCCGTGCTAGCAGGAGACGTCTACAATGGCGAGTAGCCGGTTTCCTTGGTGGAAACATGAGGACGATGGCAGTATAAATACAGTCGTAACTGAAGAACAAACAGTTGCTGACAAAGACGCGGCGAAGCACCACACACGCAGGTGTACATCTGCCTCTGGGCTCCCAGGTGCACAGGCTCCGGCGGTGAGGGCCAGGGCCAGGCCGCAGCTTCCCCAGAAACCTCTGAGCCAACCTCGGCCCTGGAACCTCAGCCCTGGTACTTCTGACCCAGGGTCAGTGCGGGACAATCCTCTTATGATCATCCTGCTTTCGGGAACTGAGCTCAGACCTGCTAAAGGAATATGCTACAGCTTTTCACTCATAAATAAGATCCTGTGGGTGGCACGTAAAGGAGAAATAAAGGAGGCAACGATTTGGTTTGTGAAAGGCTTGCAGATTGCGGGAGGACGCCGGTTGCTCTTGGCACAAGTGCCACTTGGCAGGTGCAGACGGGCGCTGCGCGGCCGTGGGCAGGACCCAGCCCCGTGCACACACGTGTCCATCAGAGACTGCGCCGCATCTGGGGCTGCTGGTGGGCACACACGCATCCCTCAGAGGTGTCCTGAGAAAAAGTGTCTGTTGCAAAATAATAATTAATAATAAAAATAAATCCGTGGGCGCTGGGAGCGAGGAAGCAGGACCGGTTAGCCAGGTTGGCCTTGGGACTCTCTCAAGGCCTCCTCCAGTTTCTGCCTAAACTTGTCGTACTTCTTCTGCACTTGTTGGATTTTGTCCTGCTCTTCTTTTTCCAGGATGGTTAGGAAGTTCTGGAGCTCAGGGATGGAAAAGGCATCCCACTGCGAAGCGAGAGGGAGATGCAGGGAGAAAACGAATAGGAGATGGGTTAGAAGTCGCCCGACCCGAGGGGCCCCGCTGCCTCAGGCTCACAGCTGCGCACAGTCCGCTACTGAACAGGCAGGTGCGGTGAGCAAAGCCTGGCTTTCCCGTGTCATGTCAGCAACACATTTTCAAATCCTCGTATATCACCAGCAAGAAGTTATCCATAGCCGATTATCAATATTATCAGTCAATAATCTTAAATGTTCTCTGTAGCAGCGGAGATCGTAACAGGGCCCCGGCTGGTCTGCTCCAGCTGTCTGTGGGGTGGCGGTAGGCTCCCCACATGCAGACCCTCAGCATTTGGAGGAGAGCTGGACTTGGGCTCAGGAGGCTGGATTCCAGCCTGAATCACCCTGTGACCTTGAGCTCGTCACCCCACCCTTCTCAGCCTGTTTCCTCATCTGCTGGCAGAGCAGATAATGAGAGAACATAACCCGCAAAGCCCTGCAGAGCCTCGCTGGCCCAGGCCTGCCCGGACGGGACCTGGCTTCTCAGGCTGACTTAGGAGCTGAGGCCCCTGGGGGCAGGAGTTTGGACTCCAATTCTTGGAGCACATAGGAGTTGTGAGGTTCACCTGGTTCCCTCCCCAACATTGCAGAGGTAGAAAACAGGTCCACACAGGGAAGGTGGGGTAACCACGGCCACAGAACATGAGGCGGCGGAGCTAGAAGCAGAGCCCAGGCCTCGGAACCCCAGGCCTGCGAGCTGTCCCCTGGGCCAGCGGTGCTCCAGCCTTTCCAGTGGAACACTTTTCCCAACAACCAGACCTGCCTGGGTGACGTGGGGAGAAGGGACAGAGCCCCACTTGCCTAGATCCCCCAAACCTCCAAAGGGACCCCAAGACTGCTCTGCCAAGCCCCAGGCCTCCACTGAGCACAGTGTGACAAACACTCTCCGTCACATGTCTCCCAGGCCCCTGGGGGCACCTGTCTGGGTTCCACCTGTTTATACCACCAGACTCCTCTAGGGGGAGCAGGTCAATGTTTAAGAACCAGGAGAGAGAAAAGGCTCAAACACCTCTCTATGGTGCTTGCTGGGCCCTCAGGCCACCCTGGAGCGAAACCACCTGACCTTACCCAGGGAGCTGCCAGTGCCCGTCCATCTGAGCTCTCAGAAACGAAGCCCATGAAATCCTCTTTCCACAGCCCTTGCCAGACGCAGGCCAGGACTTGCCTCACCCTGGGCGCTGCCAACCTGGCTTACACCCTGAACCTGGGCCCCGCACTCACCCCAGCTCAACTCCTCAAGCCATTTTCCTGCCACACCTGTGCTGGGCAGTGAGGACATACCCCTGCGCCACCCGCGGTGCCCTGGGGCTGCGTCTGTGCAGCTGCAAAGGGCCCAGGCCTACCTCCACCTCTCCAGTCTCGTTCTCCTTGAGCACAAAGCTGAGGACGTCCGTGTCGGGCCCGGCCAGCAGGCGCAGGTAGAGGGGGCAGTCGGCCACGGAGAGCTTCTGGAACAGCACTGCGAACAAACCGAGAGGGGGGCTGGAGCTGGGCCGGGAGAGGGGCGGACCCTGCTTGGGTGGGGAACTGGACAAAGCGGTGCTGGTAACAGATGGAGTGGTCCCTTCAACCACAGAATGAACCTGACAAGGATACGTGGGGAGTGCCTGGCCGCGGTGGCTCAGTGGGTGAGCGTTGACCTATGAACCAGGAGATCATGGTTCGATTCCCCGTCAGGGCACATGCCTGGGTTGTGGGCTCGATCCCCAGTAGGGGGCGTGCAGGAAGCAGCTCTCTCATCATTGATGTTCCTATCTCTCTCTTCCTCTCCCTTCCTCTCTGAAATCAATTAAAAAAACAACAACAAGAATACACGGAGAGTAACCTTTCATCTCTGGTGTGAGGGGGAAGCATGTTTCCATTTACATCATCTCCCAAAAGATTAGGAGCAGTGGGGCGGGTTCCCTCTCATCCCAGATTAGGAGGTGGGAGCCTGGGTGTGGGTTTCCTGAAGTCACATCTGGAGCGAGGGGCACAGGCAGGGCATCAGCTCCCACCCAGCACGCGTGGGCCCCAGGCCTGCTGCACGCGGATGGCCTGGCCTCACGGCGGTGCGGGAGAGGGCCGCTCCTCCCCCAGGCCTGGCGGGTTAGTGGGGACACAGACAGTTAGGAAGGTGGTCTCTGGGGCGGAGCCCCCACTCTCATACCTTGCCCGTCCTTGTGTATCCGCTTAAAAAGTGCAAACTTCTGGGGATTGTCCACGACCATGAACTTCTTGAGCAGCCCCTGGATGACCTCGCTGACCGTGGTGGTGCTGCTGATGTGCAGCTGCTTGATGGCGTCGAGCGGCAGGTAGAAGGACGTCCGCTTGTCCGTGGTGGCCGCCAGGTTCACTTCCTTGATGGCGTCGTAGATGGACTGGGGCCGGATCCCAGCAGGTACCGTCACCGGCCGCCGAAGCTTCAAATGCACTTTGATGAAACCTGTGTAGGTGCCGTCTTCACTCTGCCCGTGGGGGGATGGCAGATGGGGGTCAGGGCGGGTCTGTCTGGCATAGTCCTTGTTGCTGCCCCGGGGCCCAGGGGCTGCACTTCGCCCGGGCAGCCCCCCACCTGGCTCCCTGAGTTCCTTCCTGCCTCCTTTAACCTAGGGGTGCCCAGTGGGCCCCAAGAAGGCCCACAGTATGTAGCTACCAGGAAGGATATTTGGAGCAGCTGTAGCTTTGTCCCAGAGCTGCCTGCCCCAAATCTGCCACCAGCCAGATGCCGATTGCCTTAGGCGAGTCCCCACTCTAAGAGGCAGGGTCTGAGCGGCCTCTTTCGAAAACCCACAGCCTGTAAGACAAACCCAGGCCCATCTGTGACTGGATTTCCTGGGGCCTCATTTGGTTAAAGCCCCAAGGAACCAGTTGCTGTCAGCCACCAGCAGGGGGCAGGGCTCTCCTACTTTCTCCTCCCCTCCCCACTGAAGATGGCCTTTCTGAGCCTGATACAAAGTGGGCCCCCCCCCACCCCGACTCCTGAGCTCTGTCCGACCCAAGGGAGCGTCCCCAGACACAGGCTATACCTGTGCAATTAAGAGGGGCTGCGAACACCCCTTGTCCAGGGCTTCCTGGGGGCCAACCTATGCCAGGCCCTCGGTCACTGTATCTCCCTTTTACCATGAAACTCAGAGAAGTTAAGAAAGTCTCCCAAAGTCACAAGTGAACAAGTGGAAGAGCCAGAGAGGGGATCTGTGTCTGACTCTAAAGCCCATTCCATTTCTCTAAAGGACGGGGCCCTGTCAGCCCAGGCTGTCCGCCTTCCACAGCCCCTGAGGCCCCCAGAGGCCAGAAGAAAGGGGATGTCAAGCGGGGAGCCCCAGAATCCAGAGGGACTGCAGAGGAGCGAGACGGGAAGGGGGTGTGGAGAGGCCTGGGGGCACGGGTGGGCAGGCCCGCTCACCAGCTTCATGCCCAGGCAGTTCTTCTCACGGCTGTTGTAGCTGGCGATCTGCTGCTTGATCTCCTGCAGTGTGGGCGGGCGCCGCAGCTCCTCCACGGGTTTACAGACATTCTGGAACAGACACAGAGGTGAGGGTGGGTGTACGTGGCTCTCAGGATTCAAAGGGGAACACCACGCCCTCCCGAAGGCCTCTGACCAGCAGAAGCCAGCAGCAGCCCCACACAGTGACAACGGATGGCGGGACGCATCTATCTGCTGGGCCTGGAGCTGTTACTACTGTCTGCTGCTAAGGTTTCCACAGCAGCTGCAAGAAAAACGGGCCCTCGCGCTGTCTGTCTGTCTGACTGCGGCAGCCAAGAATGAACAGGGAATACAGGAAAAAACATGGAGTTTCTGCAACTCAGAAACAACTCCGTAAGCAGTGAAGAGCCCGTTTTTACTCCACAGAAGAATCTAAAATATGACTTTACAAGAGAAGTATTGAAAAGTCACTCCCCTTCACCCTTGCCCTCTGATTGATTCCACTTTTTAAGGGTTGAAACTAATTAAAACCCTGCCAGTGAGTTCTTTTATTAAAAAAAAAAGAATTGCAGGGATTTAGGGTAGAAACAGAGGTCACATCCCAGCTGTGCCACTGCCTCGCCCACCACCCCTGGGGAAGTAACTGCAATCTCCCTCAGCCTCAGTCTCCTCATTTGTGAAATGGGAGCACTACCTCTCCCTTGGGCTTGTTGCGAGAACAGTGTGAAAGTGCCCGTCCCACAGGTATTGACTTTGAACTCTCAGAATCAGCAGAGCTCCTTTGCTGACGAAGGGTTGCTATGGGAAAGATGCTTTTAGATGTTATGGGAGATGCAAAGAAATGCAAGCATGCTCCATGCCCTCAGGGAAGTAACAATAGAGGTGGAGAGACCTGAATGTGCATCGATGCAGCATGTGCCGACCGAATGACATCAATTCTCCCGGGCCCAGAGGTCCGAGGGCACAGGGACATCAGCTCAGGCCCCATGTCATAATAAGAACTAAGTATATTTGCCAATGAATGAGTGAAGTGGTGGGGCCGGGGCTGTGGCCCTCTATGATAATTGAGGGGATAAACCTCCTCTGCTGGGGCGGAGGGACACCCCGCACTCACTCAGCACCGGCTCTGTGCCTGCACTCGGCGTGCATTACCTCGTTGAATCCTCATGAACCCAAACTCTGCAAGACAGTGTATTGCCCATTTCACAGGTAGACCGCGGAGAGTAAGAGGTTAGTGACCTGCCTAAAGCCGCAGCCAGTGTGTGCAGAACTGGAAGAAAAGCCCAGATCTGTTCTGTGGTGCTCTTCCTATGACGTCATGACTTCTCATCTCTCCCCCACCCCCCCGGGAAGGTAACGGACGGACGGAGCTGATGTGATGGAGGTCAGTGTTCTTCACCCCGTGGAAGTGGTCCCGGGTGAATTCTGGGTCCAGGCAACTCGGTCCCGTAGTCACCCCCCCGGATTTCTCTCAAGGTCATTGTCAACCACCTTCCCAGTGTTTCCCCAGAGTCTGAGTGTGGCTGGGAGTGCAGGAGCCATCATTTGGGGGAACAAATGACTAAGTAGAAGGTTGGTTGGTCAAAACGCACCCAGAATTTGCCTGATCTTAGAAATCTACCCAATTCAGGGAGGGTCAGGGTTCTCTTCTGGCCAAAGAGGAAACAGGCCGAGGGGGACAGGTGACGGTGCTCTCCGGGCTGCCTCCCTAACACCATCCAACACCGTGCCGTGGGCGTCGGGTTTGGTTGGGAAATTCACAGCCCTCGGCCACCACATCACCACCCCGTGAACACCACGGGCACCCACAGCAGAGCCGGACCTGCCCCCTCCCTCAGCAAGCTGTCCCGTGGGGACACGCCACACTCAGCAGCATCCATCACTTCCTCCTCTCACTTTCCAGTCCCACGGAGCCCATAACATGCCACGCTTGGTGGCTGCCAAGGAGCGCTGGTGTGGCCCCTCAACCTCTGCACGGAGGCAAGTGACAGCCCTTGTCTGTGACGGCATCTTCCCTTGTCCTGTCCTCCCCCTTCGCTCTTCCTCAGGGATCTTGGGAACAGCACTGTGCCCCGCACTTTCACATGCCTGTCTCACATACTACATATCTTATCCCCATTTTACAGATTACAAAACTGAAGCTCAGAGAAGTGAAGAGCGTACCTGAGTGTCTTAGGTCCCTCTGCTAGTAAGGGGCTGAGTAGGACCTAGAACAGCGGTTCTCAACCTGTGGGTCGCGAACAATGAAAATACATCCTGCATATCAGATATTTACATTATGATTCGTAACAGTAGCAACATTACAGTTATGAAGTAGCAACAAAAACAATTCTATGGTTGGAGGGGCCACTACAACATGAGAAACTGTATTAGAGGGTCGCGGCATTAGGAAGGTTGAGAACCACTGGCCTAGAACCCAGTCCACCTGAGTCTGAAGCCCATGTTCTTCTCCACTCACCACGTGGCCTCCTAGGACGGCCTCTAATGCTAAAGGGGTACCTCCCCCTTCCCCTCCCTCCACAATGATCACTGAGGTTCCACGCCATAGGGCTGGATGCGCAGCTGCTACACCAAGGCCTATCAGTTACGTGGCCTGTGAGAGGCTCACCCAGGGTGCACTGGACCCGTGGGTCAGGCCGGAGGCCCCGGCCCCAGGAGCACCACGGCTCCTGAGAAGATGGTAAGAAGGAAGTTCTCGCCTCTTCAGCCGCCAGATGGAGGGCCCACCCTTTTCCTACTGGACCCCGATTCCAAAGAAGACCACCCAAGGGGAGCATTCCCAGGACACCTCCTGTTTGCTTGAGCCTCACTGTCTTCATTCGCTGTTGATTCATTCATCCAGGGACCTCAACATAGAGCTGCTCACCCTTTCCCTGGGCATCTCTGGGACCTGGCCTGCCCCGCCTGCCCCCTGGGAGCTTCCAGTCCAAGGACCGGGGCCCCGTTACTGTTCTGCGCTCCGTCCGCCTCTGCAGCACACAGGCTGCTGCTTGGAGTGAAGAGCCTTCTCATACTCATCTACTTAAAAGAGTTAATGGGTGGGAAAAAAACTCTAGAAGCTCTGGGAGATCTCTCATAGTTTCCAACTGAACTACAGCCATCTCTCTGTCAGAAAAGGCATCTGTGTCCCCGCTCCCACGGGCCCGTGTTCCAGGCCTGGTTTTGAAGGCAGCCAGGGTCGGGACTGCCCGAACCCAGGGCTTCTTCCTGTTCCCTTTCCTTCAGCAGATAACCCATCTCTTCTACCCCGTTCCCACCCACAAACCTGGGGGAGTGACGTGAGTGGCCGCGGGCACCCCCTCCAGCACTGACGCAGAAGACAGCCGTCCAGACTCCACCAGGAGCCCTGCGTGGCCAACACATGCGATCTCATGCCCTGGGATGTCAGCCGCAGGGCTGGGCTGGCTGCTGCCCACACCCGATCTGGCAGACAAGGTCTGACCCACGGACCGAATGAATCACCTCCCAAAATAGGCCAGCCAGTCAGCCAGCCAGCTACAGCCACAGCGGCCTCCAATCCTTTCCATCCAAGGGATAGTACAAAATCTAGACCGGCGATGCTTAAACACAGCCACACATGCTGTCCACAGGGGGATCGTCAGAAACTCAGCGCCTCAGCTCCATCTGGACATTTCATTGGTCTGCGATGCACCCTGGGCACAGGGAGTCTGGAGTCTCCCAGGTGATCCTAATGCGCAGGGTTGTTTGAGAAGAACTGGCATGGACCCCTCACAGGCAATTGCAGACCTCAGGGGTGCCCATCCCGCTGCAGAGGCCCACAGACACCCACTGCCCAAGTATCTGCTGTGTGAACAGATCAATAATACAGTAATTTTGCCCAGCCGTGGCTCAGTGGTTGAGTGTCAACCTATGAACCAGGAGGCCATGGTTCGATTCCCAGTCAGGGGCACATGCCTGGGTTGCGGGCTCCATCCCCAGTGTGTGGTGTGCGGGAGGCAGCCGATCAATGATTCCCTCTCATCATTGATGTTTCTATCTCTCTCTCCCTCTCTTCCTCTCTGAAATAAAAATTTAATTAAAAATAATAATATAGTAATCTTCAGAGGATAAGGCAAAGACCCCAATCTCTTCACCCGCCAGATTCTCAGGTGCTCAGAGTGAAAGATTTGTCTCTGCCCCTGGCACCAGGCAGACGGAGTTTGTCTCCTGGGGTGGCCCACGCTGGAGACAGAACAGGAAAGTCACTCTGACGATTTAACCAATACTGGCTGTGGCCCGTGAGGGTCTCTCCTTGGGGGTTTACACATCTCAGTGCATCTGGCATGGGATTCGTCTGGTCTGATTAAGCTCTGGCATTGGTAGCAGATGGTTTAGCTGCTCCCAAAGCCCTCGGCACATCCAGGGCACGGGGGTGGGGGTGGGGGGATGTCCTGAGCCATAGAAAGGGCTGAGTCCTCTCTTTGCTCTCAAGGTTATTGGGGTGCAGACACCTGAAGAGGCTGGGTGTCACGGGTCAGAGCAGAGGTGCCCGCTGAGAGAGTGACCCTCAACATGTTCTATTAAAATATCCTTAACAACAAAATACAAAGCACCAGCCCCTGGCAGTCTGGGGCCGGCCTCCAAGCAGATTTCCCTCAAGTTGAATTTTACCTGAAGAAAAACACAACCAACACTGTGCTGACTGTGCAATCTAAGCAATGGTACGTGTAAAGTCTTAGTTTTGGTCACTGGGGGTGACCACGATCTGAGGAGAAGAGGGGCTGAGTGAGTTCTGTACCTGATCCCCAGGTAACACGGGGCAGCCCCGGGAGCGCTGGCAACGAGGGGCCTGTGGTGAGGAGTTGGCCGAGGAGACTGTGTCCCACCCTCAGGGTGAAGCCATCAGATTAACATTCATCCCATTTTTGCCTTGACCTAAATCACACAAACCTCATTTTTGTCAAAAATTCCACTCTCTCTGTGAACTTCTTCCTGCACACGGCTTTGTCACATGGCTCCTGTCTCCTCCTCTCTAGTCCCGTCGTCTGTCTAGTGCCTTCATCTGATCGCCCGGGTCTTGAATGATGCCGATGATCATCCTTATGGCTATTTACTGGCTAACCATGTGCCAGGCCAGTGGTTCTCAACCT